TATACGTGTGTGTGTGTGTGTGCGTGTATAAACTAAAAAAATATATACACAACATATATGTGTATGTATGTATGTATGTACGTACGTACGTACGTATGTATGTATGTATGCATGCATGTATGTTTGTTTGTATGTATATTATTTATATATATATATATATATGATATATAGACACGCCTCACACCATGCGAGAAAACCACGATGTTTGTGGATTTTACCAAAATCCCTGGAACCCTAAGACTTAAACAAAAAACCCTGAAGAATGTTTGGATTCGTGTGGTAAAGCCAATAATAAACCCGTCGATGCGAAACAAAGTAATGAAAACCAAAAAATCCAAGAGTTTCCGAGCGCCCCAAAGATGTTGGATCTTTTGCTCTCTGGTGTTGTCATTTTCCTTGTTCCATACTAGATTCCTAGATCGCAGAAGGCGCAAGGACGTTGGACGACAGGGACTACACACTGCAGTCTGCAACAGCCGCAGGAACTAAAGCCTGCAAAGACCGCACACACCGCAAAACGGAAGAGGTCAGAAACCAGCATTGAGGACTGCTGGTTTGGTGATCGGGTCTTTCACATGTAAGACTCGGGGTTTGTAGTCCTCGCCACGTGTCCTTTCTTCATTGCGGTTCAGCGGAAACCAGACGCTACATGAATTACCTTTCGTGGTTCACAAGCACTGGGAAGTGGCCACTGACAGAACCAGTAGTTCTGCTAAGGGTTGATACCTGCTACTTTCGGCAACAGACATCGTCGTCGTCGTGATCCCAGCAGGAGGCGGAGCAAATAGGAACCAATGACATACAGCCTAAGAACAACTGGTAACGGCGCTATCCGCCGCTGGGAGCTGCATTTGGGGCAGTAGTATGTCTGTGTTTTGATTACTAGTAGGCTTTGGGAAGTGTTTAGGGTTCAACCTCATGGGCACATTTGCTCTGCGCTGTTCAGACACTTGCATCAGGCCCCAGGAGGCTTATATATGTGGCCCTGTGATGTTACGTAGAAGTGCAATAGGCCCAAAAGGGCAGGCAGGAGATGTTTTTTGACTAGCATTAGCCTAGCGGCCAGGTAAGCCTGTAATTGTGCATTGCAGGTTCTAAGAGGCCTAGATGTGCAGCTGTGCGAGACTTGCCACAAAAAACAGGATATAGGAGCAGAGGCCGACGTGTGTGTGTGATCTATGACTGAGGTTCATTTGCACGATGCTGTCGAATACGCGTTCTTTGTACACACGGGGGGATGTTGAAACTCTGTAAGATGTGTAAAAAATGCCTTACTTTCGATCTGAACTTCTGGCTTCTCGGCTTCTCTTCTCTCCGTTCTGCCTCGTCGGAGCTCAAGACCTCGACCGCTTTGGCCACGGCGCTCTGCTCTTCACGCCGGAGTGCGCCTGCCACAGGCATGTTTTCCACTGTCTCAACTCCACTCCACCGGCTCTTGCTTGTGCCATTTGCTGCTAGAACACTCCGCTTCTCATAGTCCGCGTCCATGGCCGCACACTTCTCCTGGCCCAAGGTCGTGCAAACCCGGGTTACGGCTACGACTTCCTCGGACAGGCGCAAAGCTTTCCAAAATGATACAAGGAAAGTCCTTCACCACGGTGCTCAGCGATCCGTCCGCTTCCAATGCGGCTGTGGTGTCTTTGATGTCCTCCAGAGCTTCTCTCAGAGAGAACGCGACCTCCAAAGGTCCCACTCCACCCAAGCCTGCTTGGCCTGCGCACGCTCCAGGTCCGCAGCTGCCTTCTGCTCCTTCTTTGCCTTGCGGTACAGTAGCATCAGTAGCACAGCAAAGGCGCAAGAGAATCCAAGGCGTGCTTTGTCACCTCCAGCTGCTTCTTGCCGGCCGTGATTTCCTCGCTCTTGGCCTTGACCAGCCCTTCGTGGGCCTCCAGAAGCTGGGGATCGGAAATCGGTGCGTCTGCCCGCCTGTGCCCGCCTTCTTGTCTTTCTCCTCTTGCGCCTTGGCTTCAGCAAGGTCCTTCTCGAAGCCGTCCTCACATGGGCAAAACTCTTGTAATTCTGTCAGAAAGCACCACAACTGCTCCTTGAGGGTTGAGAGAGTTCCAGCCACCACGCTGGTAGTATCAGGAGCCTTTTGCAGGAAAGCTGACCTGGCAATGCGCACAGCCCGCCACCTGGAGCGACTGCCTCCGCCTCTGACTAGCCTTGCTTTCGAAGGGTTCTTGATCAACTCCTCAACCTGGCAGGAGCTTCAGTGGCTTGTGCTTTCCCTCGCGTTGCAGGTGCCTTCTCGCGTTGCGTCTTGGTGAGAAGCCTCATGTGCTTGGTCACGATCGTCCGCAGCTTCGACAGTGCACTCATGAGGCGCGCCTGCCAAGGGAAACGGGATTAAGCAACTACCCATGCGGTCTGAAAGAAATGCGGCCTGGCTGGACTGTGCGGAACGAAGTATGCTTGAAGCAATGATCAAGACGTCGTCTGCAGAACGAACTTACAAGCATGCTTGTGCCGAAGGCTCTCGGCGCCTGCGGCATCTGCAAGAACGAAGACTTGTCAGAACCTGAAGCGCTGAACAATGTGAGCTAGCTCAAACCCGAGCTCTGGATGCTCGGTCTACGTGGTCAATGTGCAAAACGGAGGCCAGACTTTGCTAAGCCTAGGCATTGAGTTCGGCAAGGTTCAAGACCACCTCACCTCTTGTTTCTCCGAAAGGTTTCGACTCTATCTGCACACTTCGCACCTATTCGTGACCACTCTGCGCCGACACCATGCAACATTGAGTTGGCGACTGAGGGCATCCAGTGCTTTGTTCACAGATGCGGCGGACTGTGTTAAGTCCTGGCACATCTAATCCTAGATAGTCCTAGTGCGTCACTCGCTTCATGTAGTTGTATGGTTCGCCAGTTAAGGTTGTGGCTTTCAGTCCTTCTCGTCATCGTGGAACTCTGCAAGCTGTTGCTCTCGCAATGCCACGGCAGTGTCCAGCGCTTTTTCGTTGTGCACGACCTCATCCTGCGTCTTGTCTGGACTCCTCCCTAATTATGCTTGTGCTCTGGACAGTTGCACCCACACCCAAATCGCAACACCAGGGTTCAGCTGACACGGAAAGGGCCATCCACTTGAGCTCCATGCACACAGGAAGATTTGCACGGGTTCAGGGCTGCTTGGGGACCCCGACTCCGCTTGCACTGAGCTGTCAAAAGACGTTGGTATGGAGTATTTCTGCGCGGTGCGAAAACATGGGGGGGTTCAACACCTTGAGGGTTCAGAAGCTCCAAGCTACTGCCGAAGGCAGAAGTTCCAAGCTAGTGGCTGCGAGGGATCTAAGAGTGAAGAGCCCAGGAAGGATGCAAACTCCCTCGGCTTGAAGCATTTAGCCCAAGCCCCGAAAAGTGCTCAAGTGCATGCCAACAAGTAGCACACCGCAAAGTGCATGTAGCCACAAACAAACACTGTAACACGGCCAGCACCAAACGAGGTGGCAGTTGCTGGCCCCCAAGAACAACTTCCAACCCCAATGCTTTTGACTCATCACGGACAATCTCGGCCACACCGCGAAGCGAATCCTCATTCCACTCTCTTTTCGATGATATGTGGGGTGTGTCATCCGATCTTCCCTTTTGGTGCTCAGGGTTTGCCACTCAACATCTCCTTTCTTTGGGATTTGCAGGGCAGCGCCGCAGGAGGTGAGATTAAAGTTGCACATAATCAATCCAAAACCTTTAACGGACCGTTTATCCAAGACACTTGACAAATTATCTAAAACGCCAGATTGCAAACGTTTTACAGTTTTAAACGACGCTTCTAATGAAATTATCGCGCGTCAAGCATTAATGATACTATCAATAATAGGCTGGTTTCTGGCCTGGGACTACCTCCCTGCGAAAGCAAGACTAAACTCAAGCTCTGCTACGCGAGCTTTCGTGACATGTGGTCTCGACTCGTCTCGACTTCAGCTCGACATGGTCTCGATATCTTCATGCGTTGGTCCTCGGAGGTTGAAATTTCGGAGGCCAGGCGCGAGCTCGTTGCAGCCAACTCCTCGGTGCGCGCCTCCAGACCCTGGCACAGCTGCACGCTTCTGTAAAGTGCACGAAGTGAACGGCTCCGGAACGGCGTTGCCGCTGACAACGCTGAGCAGTTGCTGCACACTTGCTGGCTTCCATTCCCTGCCTTGATGCGAGCCTCGGCCGACTCGATGCTCTTTGCCTTGTCCTCGCCGTTGCTCTTGCACCAGCACTGCATCTTCTCGTAGGTATCCTGGCACTGCAGTCCATGTCTTACCGTCCCATGTCCCTACAACGCTTTTGGATCCTCATCTTCTTTCGCCTCTGCTTCCAGAGAGCTCTCCATGTCCTCTGCCACTGCGCTTCCACCCAGGACACGACACGATACAATGGCTGCCCGGGGGGAATGCACCTTCAGAAGGTTGATGACCTTCGTAGTTGGCCTTCCAGGCAATGGCATCAATGGCGACAGGAACTTCATAACACCCCGTGAACGAAAGCCACGCTGCAAGATTGCATTTGCCCCACTTCCCACAGCGCCCCGAGGCCGAGGCCTGGCGCTGCCATCCTTAGAAACCGCTGGCCAAAGAGACGCCATGCCACGCCAAGTCGTAAGACAACCGCCACCAGGCCATTGCCAGCAGCGACGCCAACTGCGGACAGCGTAAGCACCTGCACAGGCTGTTCGACAAAGAGACACGCAGACATGTTTTTTTTACATCATCACTTCGCAAGAGATAACACCTTGCAGTCCCTGGCCTGTCGCAAAGCAACCATCGGTGAACGCGCTACAATACTTCCAGCTGGAAGACGGATCTAAGCTCCAAGTCCAAAACAGCCGTTCACAATGAGAAATGGCATCTTCCATGACTCGCAATCCCGCCACGAGCTGACTGGAGCACAGCGAGACTGCGCTTATTTCGGCTTAAACTGGCGGCTGGACTGTTGCAAAGTTTCAAATGCGAGTGCCGGAAGTTGGAAAGAATGCACAAGAAGCATCCTGACAGGTAGACTCAGGTAGAAACACTGATTGCTCCCTGGACGGGTCTTGCCGCGCAAACCTGCAGCAGTGGCATGAACTAGTTCCGGAGCATGCTCCACAACTCTACCTGATCCATGGAAAGAGACACTCGATCAATCTGTACATGCGAGGTCAAAAGCGAAAATCACCACATGCGAATTAGCCTGAATCCCTGCATGGATCTTCACACCCAACACACTGTCACTGACAGGATTCCACGAGCCTATCCTCAAACATCGGGGAAACTGTGAAGACACCTGTCAATGGCCTTTCAACCTGAAGCTTTGACCCTTACACACCTTCGAACCTTCAACAGTCTCCTTCAAATGGCTCGATGCATAATGATCTGCACACGACCTTGCAGTCCACAACATGCATATCTTCCTGCACTCCTCGAAAGTCGCAGCTTGCCGGTGAGACAATGAAATGTAAAAAGCTCTCGCAACAGGACTGCACCTCCAGCGCAGTTCGCGAGCGTGAGTCAGAACACACGGCTGCCATGCCACATTGGAAGGCTTTTGGCGAAATACGGTGCTGCGACCAGCGTGCTGACTCAAACTGCGCATTGCCCAAACTCCAACAAAGGATGGGCTGGAAAATAACAGCAACCAATATGCTGTTCCTAGCGCACGAGATGGGATTTGCCACATCTACCTTACAGATTCCACGAAACTCGCCGTAGGCACCTTGGGTTGTCGCCGCTTGGGACGCCACCAGTATAGGAAAGCCATGCTGCTATGCAAACGGCGCCATGAGTAGCACCCAGATGGTTGGCATAGCACATCGATGTAAAATTTGCATCGGTACAAGTCTGTGAGCTGGCCTCTGCCTTCACAGAGGCTCAGACTCATGCAGTGATTGATCACCAAACGGCACGGGATGTGGGTCCACAAAGGCTCGGCTAGGCTGCGCGTTGAGGGCACAGAAGCGTGTACAAGTTACATCTTCACAGGCCCTGAAGCCGCACTATGCCACATTGCCCTCTTGTTTTGCTTTCAAAGACGGCATAATGCATCCCTAAAACCAGAAAGCAAACAAGTCTCGGTCTGTCATGTCTGTCCGGGCTGTCGCACGCCTTTACTTCTGTTTGAAACGGAAACGACTCCTGTCTGTAATTTCTGCGACTGGGTGAAAACAAATCTAGGAAAGACCAGCGCTAATGCGGTCCGCACTCTCGGCCAAACGGCTTTTGGATGTTTCGGTGAATTTCGGCACAGTCTCTCAGCTTATGTGGAGATTGCAGGAGGTCGCTGTGGCAGTCAGCTCGTGTTGCAATTGGGCATGTCGCGTTGGCCGCCTTGGTGTGCAAATCTAGCACCTGGCCAAAGGGGAGATGTGGGCACCTGTGAGACGCTTCGGAGGTAGAACTCATAGAAGAGAGGTACTTGACCGCGGGCCACTCGCGTCGTTGGGGTCTTTTGGTCTGTCAGTCCAGTGTGGTTGGGTGCTCGTCGAGGCTCCAGGGAACTCGCTCGCCTGGGCTCAAAGTCCAAGAGACCCGATGATACTCTAACTGCCGCCTATAGCTCCGAAATCTGGGAATATGAAAGCTGAAGGTCGAGCATGCAGGGACCAAACTCAATTGGTAGTTGTGCCGGTCACTTATACTTTCTGCAGACAAGTGTGTTCCCCGCGAAGGGGTCAAAACATCAATGAAGTCACACGTCCACGACCAGACCGTGACCCGCCCCAAAAACTCCCAACAAGCATGAGATGGCAAAAGCTTAGAGCGTGGAGCGGTGTATGGAGTCCCGAGCCCCACTGATGTTCGGGATCCGGTATAGTATCGTTGTGGTGCCGCCTGGCTTGATCAATACACTGGCCACACCCTTGTCCACGGTTCTCTGAACCGTGGACAGTTCAAGAGTCGTTGCCGGAGCGAGCAGGCGCATCAAAAGAGGCCAAACCTTGTCACATCAGCTGCACTTGCACCCGCCCCCTGGCCCCGAGGACCCTGTAGGAGTCCAGCATGCGTGATGGCTTCCCTGCCGGAAGCTGTTGAAGTCGGTCGACACACTCTTGTGCCGAAGGCCTGGCACTGGTCGCACAGAAGAGAAACGACAAAAGCCTGAGCCGCTGCCCTGCCCTTTGCCTGTCTTCCGCTTTTACGGCCCAGGCCTGAACTTCCAGGTGCAGCCGGTAAGGTACAACACATCCGAAACGTTGCAGGAGTCTTGAGTCTATGCAACACGACATCGAACGACAACTAGACCAGACTGAAGTTAGAATGCCCAGCAATCCGAGACTCCCCGAAACAAACCCTGCAAAGAGAACACGGCAGTGTTTCATCCATCATCGAATCTCACCTCTGCAAACCCCGATTTGGGTTGTGTGTGACCCGAAGTTTTCTCAGACCCAGTTGTCCAACCAAATATCAACCCAAGCCTCAACTCGAAGCGTGTTGATTTTGCCGTTTTGCACTGCTCCTCTTGTCTTTCATTTGCGTTCATGGGCATTGCGAAAAGCCGCGATGCAGTCTTCCATCCTTTCCTTGCCTTTCCTTGTGGTGCTTGGCTCATGTTCGTTGCTTCTTCCTCACAGTGTCTTCGTCTCTGTCCCTTTGGCACTTCCTGCTACGAGAGATTTACGCTCCCTTTGCGATCCCCAAAGAGTATGACCACTCAGCCGAGAGGCATCCTGCATGAGGCTGCGCAGCCTGAGGCCAAGAGGGGTTCTCTACCAGTTCAGTAAAAAAGGCAATGAACTCGAGGGTTCGGCTCTGGCGTGCCATATGACGAGGACATTGATGGTCTGGGCTCCTGCCCCTTCAGGTAGGCCTCGAGGATGCAAGAAGCATGTCGGAACTACTGCAAGGTGCAAGCCGGGGCTCAGGGGCCCGGCACGGAGCACCTTCTCCGGATCTTCGCCACCTGACAGTCCGAGAGTAGTTGGGCATCCAGTATGGTGTGAATTCGCTCTGGCCAAGGTACAGAAATCATAGAAAGGCATCTTTCCTGCAGCCAAGTGCTGAGGTGAGGCGGCTCAAGCACTTGAAGCTTCATCACACCAGAGGCCCCCGTGGTCAAATCCTGCAGCTATGTAGTACATGATGAGGGCAAACGCAAAGATGTCGATTTTGTCCTCAGTGACTAAATCTGTGCAGGATGTGCTGGCCTAGCGAAAGTATTGCAGCTGCACTAGGACTGCAGTTGAGAAGCTGTGTATTGCTCATATCGCACAACTTCTGGAGCCATGTACCGGTATGTGCCAACACCTGACCGAGCATGAAAGGCTCGGACCGTCGGCTTTGCATCGAATCTGCGCTGGAATTGATTTGCAAGACATGGCTGAAGCTGATGCCGCTCATCGGAAAACATGGCGTTCATGGGCACCGCGCCACCAGACATCATCGGTGCAGGCGACGTGTCCCTCCTTTCGGCCCAGGGGATGTCTTGTTCAACCCCTCTGGTTTTGGAGGAAGCGTGCTTCCAAGTCGCCCAGAAAGATCCAGGAGCTTCGGCCGCATAATTTTGCTCAAGCCAAAATCTGTCACCTGGATCCCCCACAAACCGAACTGCAAATTGCATGAGCTGTCAGAGCATTTTGTATTGTGCAACGCTCAGCTGCCTTCAAGTCCAAGCCTTTCGTCAACAGGAGGTTCAGAGGCTTCAGGTCTCTGTGAATGATGGGTCCTTCAATCGCAGGAACATCTTGAACTTCTACGTGGTGGAGGTGTCGGGAACTGTGAAAGGGTCTGGGATACCGGCGTGCACAACCATGCAAGAATGCCAAAGCCCGGGCTGTTGAGAGGAACCAAGACAATGCAACCTGCTTCGAGAGTTCGACTGGCTCTCGGATGTCGGACATGACTGAAAGTGCGAAATCCGGTCACGATGCGGATTCGAGGTCCCGACATTGTATGGGGGCTTGAACTCCTTGTTGTTGGCTTTGATCCGATTGGATCGCATATATGTCTCCACATCTCCACCCTGGATCTCCAGGGGGCACAATAGAATGGCGCGAGTTACAAAAGCCATGGAGGCCTCCATGTACTCCGTGAGGAAGAAGCAGGTCTCAGTGTCCAAGCCTAGGCAAAGCCGCTCAACATACTCCCTCTCCCTTTCTCTGGGGCATCAAGGCCCTATCACAGACAGCCACCCCCCAAGCGTGCCCCGACTGTCGGTCAGTACACGGACTCACTCTCTTCCCTTCGCCGGGTTATGAGTCCGACCAAGCCGGACCCATGCGTTAAGCATCCCCTCTCGTTTGCAGCGAGAAGGAGGCATTGCGGCCCGGAGTGAAGGTGCCCCAAAAAAGTGTCCAATGAGCGTTTTCTCCTCAGGGCTCAGCTGTACGAATGTCAAGGTTCCACTCTGACCGTACAGACCATGACAAAGCCGGTCCCCAGAGAGCAGCATTTCAGCTCATCAAGTTTTTCTGGTCTTCCTGCTTGACTGTCCCCCCAGGCTCAGAACTCAACACAGGACGCAGCATTGAACACTGTTGATCCTCAGGAACGTCAAGACTGTTGGGGTTGTCTGAAGAGGCCGCCATGCTTAATCTTCTCTGTATCGTTCCAGAATTCCATAAAGCCTCCAAAGGCTCGCGCACGGCGGTTGTTCCTGACCGCAGTAGCGGTCGTGCTGGCTGGGCCCGCCCGACCAAAAAGGAACTGCGAAGAATAAGAGGCAGGTGCCCAGAATGAGTTCTCACATGTTCTCACCATGTATGCCGACAACGCTTCCGGATCGTGAGGGGGCGGAGGGCATCTCTCAAGGAAGTGGCGCCACTTGTCGTTCCGGAATCCGGCCCGACGTGTATATCGGGTGGCCGAGGCTTATGTTTTGGACAAATTCCACTTGCAGATGTCGCACTCTGGCCGTCCCTGTGACTTGTTTTAGCTTTCCAAACAGAGCTCGCGATTCTCTTTCCGGCAGAAGCCCCGTCTAATTAGCATCCTTGTGCAGGAGTTACTGCAACGCTGTTATCGCACGCTGTTGCCCCCACATCTGCATGGGGTTCTGAAGTTTCGCGTCCCCACCTCGTGTTAGATTGCTGCCTTCCGGAAGCCGTGCGTTCAATGAGTTCGATTGGGCGTACTCACAGATGGCTATGGTGTCGAGTCAATACAACACCTGCCTGGGTTCTCCGGCAGAAACTACACGCATCGTGAACAATTCCTGCGAATGAGCAAGTAGGTGTCCAGCTTGCACCAAGAAAGAGCACGAGATCGGGATGCCGGAGAGTGGACAGGGTCCTTAGGGCGTCTGCATGATATTTATCCGGCGATGATGGTGTTGAAGCAATGCAAAAAGAATACCAATGCTTGATGCATTCTTTCGGGCCTGATCTCATGCAGCAGTTCGTCCCGTGCAATTCGAACCTCAGCTTTGCAAGTAGAATTACATGTCGTGTCACTCCACTTGGGAGCTGATGAAATCTGAATCTCTGTATGCAACGACTCATAAGACACCAATTCCTTGGTGTTGGCGGAGCGGCTGTGGAGTCGCTTGCTTCTTGTGCACGGCGTGGATTGAGGCCGGAAGCCCTTGGTTTCATGCAAGTCTTTTTTATTGCCGCAAACTGTCCGCCTCGCTTGTAAGTGCCAGCCTCACATCCTTAACGGTCTTTGCCACGACCTGCCACTTCAAGAGACGGGCACGCTGCAGTAAAGCTTCACGCTACCCAGCCTTCAACCCACGCCACGTCGCCAAGTAAACTGCACTCTTGATGGTTGTGGACAAACACTTTCCGAACTGCACCTTCAAGGGGGTACACGACAAATGGATCAAGCATGCCGTGAGAGCAGCTGTGCGATTCATCACTGTACCCAACAATAACTGTTCTACATTCACCTCCGAGGCGACAATCGACCAGTGCTCAGATGCTGCCATGGTCTTGAGCGCCTGCTTTTCACAAGCAAGCGGACTGAATGTACCATGAGACAGCAGGGCCTCGAAGTCTGTGTTTTTCTGACCAGCAGCCTCATCCAGAATGTTAGTTCCTGCTGCTCCCAGCGCCCTGATCACCTTGTGTGTCAGCAGCGAAGCCCAAGAACACGACGACTAAGTTTCCAAAAACAACGTCCGAGCGGCGGCTGCATCGTTGTGCTGGAAAGCCTGGCAGGGCCCGACAGCAACCCACGCAACACGACCGGCAACTTAACTGCACACCTCGTCCACTGGCGTCTTGCCAAAGGAATCGTGAGCTGTCGGATTAGCCTGCATGGTACCCATCAACAACGCGGACATGGTGCCTGTGTTGGTGAATGACACAATTCCGTTTGTGCGGAGTACCACATGTCGCGGCGGGTGGGCTAGAGAAGCAGTACGGCAATCTGTCGTCCTTCGCACGAAGCAGCACGCTGACCACCTGCTGGCAGCTCGAAACTCACATCCATCAGCCGCGGATTCTGGCATGCAAAGCCTCTGCATGTCCACGGGCTGCAGCTATGTGCAGCGCGGTGCGACCATCGTAGTCGGGCGCTGAAGGGTTGGCCCCACTCTTCAACAGCTTCCTGGAGCCACCAGACTCTGATAGTCGCGATCGTCGAACCCTCAATGGTACTACCGAGCGTCTCAATCTGCGGCAGCCACCCAGTGGCAGCCTGCCGCCGAAGAGCTGGTCACAAACAGCTCAGCGCATGCCCCACGTCCGAGGATAGGGCAGCAGCACAAAGCATGGCCGCGGTCTCCATGTCAGACCTGTGAGACATGAAGAGGTTGCCCAACATCTGGGCCAGAATCACAGCCCCTGACGTTTGTCTTTCAAAGTTGCCAGAGGTGATCGATGAAGTTTGTGCATCGGCTGGTTTTAGCAATGCTGCCACCTGCCAGGCAGTGGCCATCAGCCCATGATGGGAGTATGAGTATACGGGAGTCCTTCGGAAACCAGGCCTTGCTGTGTCCAGCTCGCAGTGCCTCGTCCAGGGGCGTGTGGCCCCAGCCTTCAGTTATCACATGACGTCGGGCATGGTACTGGCGCCTAATTTGCCAGAAACCTCAGGCCATGACGATCAACAACCGTCGTGTCCTACCAAAAACTGGCTTTCCGAAGAAAATCTTGCACTTTGGCAGCGATTGACAACCACGATTGAGCAGAGTCCCTGGCCGCTTTACGCGACAGCAGGAATGCAACGACCTCTCCACATGTGGCTATGGTGCTGTGAAGAATTTCTCACTGCCGGCTTGTGATGCCGTTCCCTTCGCTCCGCTTCGCTCCACTTCGCCTCGTCTCGGCCTTCCGCAGCTGCGATGTGGATGGCCGTCCGGCGGTCGTAGTCGCCTTCGGGAAATTCAGGACACGAAGATGACATGACATGTGCAGAAGGCAGCTGACCTGCGTTCACGTCATAGCCTGCTTCGAGGAGGCTCTGCAGCTCCGCGATATCGCCTGGTGATCTGCTGCCGCAGGTTCCTTTCTGTGGATTCATCATGCCAAGCCTTCAATGGCTGCATTGCAGAGCTCTCCGGCCATTTTTGTCCGGCCCTGTGCAAGCTCATGCCAACTGGCCCGAGCATCATGATTCCACAAACATGAAAGGACACGGCAGCTATCCACGCCTTCGATGGTGATCCGCCTGGTCACAGAAGAGATGCTCCGAAGTCACACGCAGGCACACGTCTCAGCACCCGGCCATGGGAATTCTTAGCCTCGAGTCTTTGTGGTGACAAAGCATATCAAAGTCGCAAATGGCAATCTGAGATGCAAGCCAGAGCAGATGCCAAATTGAAGGTCGGGGTTGCTTCCTCGAAGGTAATGCCAGAAGATGACACAGAATTGTAGGTAGCGTTCATGAAGGGTCCTGGTCTCCAACAGGAAGCGGCATCGCGTCCAAAGCTATCTGCGGTGGAGTGTCTTCGGAGGACCTCCTGCAAGAAGCTCTAGCAGCCCGGCACTCTAGCATTCCGACTCGTGACTAGTCCACCTGGGTTGAGCTGCCAAAATGTCCAGCTCCAAGTGGCTCCCACTCGTCGTCAGCTTTACGGCTCCTGTCGGATGCAAATACCTTGCACCAGTCTAAACACAGCTCACGCTAGGAAACAGCTCTCCAATGCACGGCAAATCGCTGCGCTCCCGGTGCTGAATGATCTTCCACGGAACTCGGCGAATTCAAGTTGCCGCATGTAAAGCACACGTAAAACGAGCAAGATGCGAGCCCGAAGGATTTTCCACAGCGTAGGATACCGCAAGCAGAGATAGCGACAAGTTCACATGTCATGAGCGGGGAGCGGGGACATTTGGGAATCTTAGGCGGGGGCTTGCAGCTGCCCATAAGTCAACCCCGACGTCTGCCGGGCTGCACAGGCTGCTATTGAGGGGAAGACCTCGGCTGCACGAGATCCCGCGTGTCTCAATCACCTCTTGCTGGAGCAGAACCCGCTGTGGCTGTCCAAGGCTCAGGCTTTTTCGGTTCTACCTAAATACCATCCAAACACTAAACTACTTGCTCTAGAGCTCGAGATGCTGTTCACAGTGCCAGTTCACGTGCATCAGCTGGCAACGACCTTGCTGACGTATCTCGCTGCAGCGGCACAGGTTGACGAAGTCGGGAACCGGTATTTCGCACAGAACAGCATCGCATATCCTCTGGATTGCTTGACCTCTTTGGGCCAACGGGCTTTGCAGCTGCTACGCTGCTATAGTGCAGCTATAGGCCCGACCAGAAGTCAACCTGTGCTCGATGCCTGGCCTCAAAAAGAGAGCCCCGGGGCCCTAGGAAGTCTTCTCGGCCTTTTTGGATGGACAACCCTCCTGTTCCGTAAGGGCGGCACATCATCAAGCTGCTGGAAGTGTGCTGTAGCCTTCAGGCTCCAACTCCACTTCACAAATCTTGAAGTTGCTGTCTAACAGCAGGTGTCCGCCCGCTCGATCCTTGATAGGAGAGATCAAGTACATGAGAGTAGGGAGTGGAGAGTGGGAGTGGAGCGAGTGAGTGAAAGTACAGAGAGGGGAACGAGTGGGTCAGAGTAGGGAGTCCGGAATGTGGGGGGGAATGAGTGAGAGTATAAGTGAGTGAGAGTGGGGAGTGGGGAGTTGGGAGTGGGGAGTTGGGAGTGGGAGGTGAGTGCGAGTGAAAAGTGAGTGAATGGGGGGGAGGGAGTGGGCAGCCATGACGACCCTGGGACCAACTTGGGACAAACAGAGCTGGAGCATAACCACTGCACTTGCTGGCGGTGCAGCCTGGTGTCTCGCAGCACCAGCTGCAGCGGCCGCCACTCTCAGCAGGGGCGGTGTGGCCTAGGAAATATGCGTGCCGTTCGGAGCATTGGCATACTCCTCAGGTCGGCAATAAGCTCCAGACGACCAGCGGCGTAGAAACCGCCCTGCACAAGGTGAGAGCACGCTGTGTTCAGCGCTCGCTCAACGTCGCCGGTGCATTTTCTTTGTCTGGGACGCTGCACTTTTGGCGCATGCTCTCCTACCAGCCTTGGGGATCCTGAAAGCGCCCTCGCCGGCTCGTGCGTTCGACTGAGAGGCCTGTCACGACAACCTCAACCAACTTAAGCGTGATGGGACCCTGCACCGCACCTGCACTGTGACACGAGTGGCTTGCCAGTGGTCAAGGTCATTGAATGCTGCTGCCTCGTGTCTGCCGAGATCACAAGTCACAAAGTTGCAGCAAGCCAACGGATCAGGCCTGGGCGGCGACACCGACCGTGCTTTGGTGTTGAAGATCTTGTAGCCTTCACCATGCAAGGCGAAAGGACGTGTAGTTCGGTGTCTTTAAACACTTGGGCCACTGCTTCGGATGGGTGACTGGCATGGCTGGGTCGGCCTTGGGTGGTGGCATGCACGCATCCCTCATGCGAACTCATTGAGCTACCACAAGGGGCTGACGAGAGGGAGACAGGCGACCGTAGTTGCCCTGCCCTCGCCTGGATCGAGACATGATGCGCTTCTGCAAACCTGATGCCCTGTGTGCAGCTGGCCTTGGAAGCAAGATGCTGCAGCGTTTCGAGCCTTCCAAGCAAAAGCTCGAGGTTGCAATCGCAGCCCGCTGGATGCGCAAGCTAGCGAGCCTGTCTCGAAGTCGGGCCTTAGCACAAGTCGAAGTCAAGAGTCTCAAAGCGGACACCGAAGCCGAAGCCACAGGCAGAGCCGAATCCCGCAGGAGCTTCGATTGGGTTCGCCCTTTTCGGCTCGGAAGGCGCAGCTGTGCCCATTGGCGGAACAGCGGCAACGCAGTCTCCTTCAGCGAACGTAGCGACGTTGGGCTTTGTTAGGCCGCTCGGCTCGAGCTCGGATGTGGAAGAGACTCGCATGGGCGGGGATTAGATCAGGGTGTTGGGCTAGAGGTTCAGGCAGGGAGTTTAAGAGTTTCCAGTCAGGGGTGTTGACGTCACGGCTTTGTGTTGGCATGCCTAGCATAGGACCTGGTAGCGCCGCTTCTGCAGATACCGGAGAGGGAAAGAGCGGGCTCAGCAGAGTGAATGTTCTTCCCGCTCCAACTGGAAAGGTCCGGTAGTCCTGTAATTTCATCCACTCCTCCCCCCGAACTCGTTGACTGCGACTCGCTGAACTGCTCCGCCAGCACAGCCTGCATCGCTCACTCCCAGTCCTAACCTGAGCCCTGGAGGGCCCTCAAACGAAAACTAGCACGGGTGCTAAGGGCCAAGGGGTTGGGGCAGGTTTGCGGTGTTCATGGTTGAGATTGCTTTGAGCGAAGTGGCTGAACGAGGGTTGTCAGGCTGTCAGGATTATGGGTCAGCGATGAGAACTTGTCACTGCATAACTTCCGAAGTGAACCCAACACCGGCCCAAAGTCGTCGTCGTCGTAATCGTCGCCGTCGTTCTACAGTTCGTGTATAGCATCAAGAAAGGGCCGCTGGCGGAAAGCTCGGCGCAGCCCTGAAACTGAGCACCTAGAGGCGACGTAGCCTTCGTGAGTTCGAATGAAGGGGACCGGGTGCTCTAAGACTCTAAGAACGCCAGCAGTCAGCAGTGCCTGTTGATCTCAGCCGCCAGCTGCTGGAATCTCAGCAGTTGCAGTGGTGCTACGCCCGTGGTCGTGTCAAGACTCAGTCTCGGCTTCGCGCTCCAGAGGCACACTGTCAAGGCCGCTCCAGGAAGGCAGAGGATCGAAAGGGACACTCACCAGAACCTCAGAAGGCCGTGCCCTCCCCCAGCCAGAAGTTCTCTGAAAGCAACAGGATGATCATGACATGTTTGCGCTTCCAAGTCGCCCAGTCCATGCGACGGCGTCGCAAGAACTCCGTCACCTTGACATCTGTCCATTATGTCATCATGCACAACGCACCAGGCTGGAGAAAGGGAATTTCAACTGCGGCCTCATGGACTGCCACATGGTAGCGGCCGTCTATGACACTCAGAAGCAATGGCCTTGCAACACTGCAAAGACACTGCAAAGACACTGACAAGTACAGGCATGGAATGCTCAGCTCTGCGCGCGCCAGGACTCAGGACCTGGGAGCTCTGCCAGCACAAGACCAAAGAGGCCCCTAACGAGACCGGACCATCCAGACGGACCTCCTTTGCGCTTGAGGAGTGCGCATTGTCGGCAAGGATGCGAGTACTGGATCGAAGAGGCTCCAAGGCCAAGAGATCCTCTGCGAACTCTGTGCAGCCTTGCAAGGCGGCTCTCCGAACTCGCAGCTCCTCGTGGTATCGAGCACCACTGTGGTCAAGCACAACTACCTGCAAACTCGCAGGCAACTTTCATGCGGTTGCAGGCTCGTTCTTCAGGTCCCCACATCCGGGCTGGCCAGCAAACCTGTCGCAATCCAATCGGCCGCAAAACCAATCTTGACCTGCCACGATTCGTTTTCTCATCGCTCGGAACACATCCGATTCTCTCCGAATGTCCGTGCTGACGCTCCACAGCCCCAAAACGAATTAGAGCTGAAAGCTGTGAACCCCAAGACGTGCATCAACCTGACATGAAGCATGGTTGTTTGACACAGAGCAGTGCTAGGGCTCAACCCTGCGGTCAATATAATGTGCACGCATGAGCCTGCAAAACCAACTTGCAGTCAGCAAAACTGTTCACTTCGTGATGAACGCAGAAAGGCGGCGAGAGAGAGATACAGTAGAGAGAGACAAACAGACAGACATGAGATACGGGTGCAATCTACGATTCGATGTACGAGACGACCCGAAGTCACTACTGTATGCCATCAACACAGCCAACAAGCTCTCACTAATAGCTATGGTTTCGGAAGACCCGAGAACAGGGCGGCGAATGATGATGACAGGCCAAACCAATGCAATCAACGGATGTGGTGAAGGGTCTTTGTTGCTCATCCCCGATCAAGATCATCGCACATATGAGTCACCACCTTGCTACGTAGTCGCATATTACGGGCTCACCAAGACTCAAATGACGACTCCGACGCAAAGTCATACACACCAATGGAAGTTGAAGATCGGTCGTGGATCGTTGTGCTTTGCATTCAAGCTCCGAGCGACCCGTGACCAACCCCCTCAGTGCACCTTTCAGCTACTCCGCCTTATGTTTCAGGCAAATACACAACAAGACAGCAGAAGTAGCTAAACGTGCAGGATGGATGAGTGCCAGAAAGCTGTGCGACAAAGAGCACACCGCCAACATACCGGCCCCGCGAGCGGTGGGTAGGGATGGGACCATAAGTGTTGGCAGACTATCGCTCTAAAGCTTTTGCACCGGTGCAGATTTGCGCACACTTGTGCAAATCAAGCAATATCAAGCAATAAGATGACTCAAGATTTCCAGGCTGGCAGGTTTGGCAAGGAATGCTGGCACCCAACAAGGTGTAGCAGTATCTCCAATTCAGCTACCTTTCATGCCAAACTTGCAAGGGGCCTCTACTTCCTCTTCAGCTCCAGCCCAATTGATGATTCGGCGTGCGACATGGGCACTGACCTCAGCTGCAACTGGGCTCTCGTTGCATGCACAACAGCCCTCCACCAGGGGCCGCGCCAGATTGAGCTCACAGGAAACAACTCGGCCACCACCACCAAGAATCCTGCCCAAGTCTTGGCACAGACACCGACGGAAGTATCGGAAGTGCTTTGGCGTGGAGATATCCTGAGTTGCCGGGCTGCCAGTAGTGCAGAGAAGCCGACGAAGCATCCAAACCTGCAGTATAGAACACCTCTCCGACCAACAGGTTTCAACACAAATGCGTGGATCTCAGAACAAATTGCGGAATCTACTCTAGCCGTGCAGCTCCAGGACAACATCACCAGGACGAAGAACCGCCTGCAGACCATGTCGCCCCGCAATTCTGCGAAACTCAGACAAGGCACGAGTCTCAGTTCTGAACACTTTAGCTGCACTGGTCGGCTTCAGCCCCTTCAGCCCCCTCGGAACAATCAAGCATCCACAGCGTCCCCCCTCCCCGAACCCCAAACCAAAAAACACAAACGAAACCCTAAACCCCTACACCCCTAAACCCTAAACCCCTAAACCCCTAAATCCTGAATCCTAAACCTTAATTGAACCCTCAACCCCTAGACCCCCAGACCCCTATAGCCCCTCAACCCTTCAGCCCCCCTTCAGCTGCTTCTGCTCCGCCTCCAACAGGCGGGACTTGTTTCCACCTGCGATCTTCAGCCACTCCCGGCGCCGCGCAAACTTCAGCATCTCGGAGAGCACTTTATCCAAATCTCCTCTGTGTGCACGGCGCTGCACAAAATCCAGCAGAGCGAATTGCTTGCGTCCCAGTGCTTCCATCTCAAGCGAAGGGTGCTCCAGACTCGACACGCCAGCCACCTCACATGCATTACGGAAGGTGGAGCCTGCTACGAGCAAGGACTTAGCATGAATCCGGGACACATCCAGAGCCCAGGCCACGCTGGACCACAGATCCAGGACAGAGTGCTGTGGCATTGGAAACTGCAGAAGCCGGAGGGCTTGCTGCCAAGCGCGGCTGTGGCCCAGTGCCCGTGCCAGGCAGCTGAAGGCTCCAGGGCTAGGGGTGAGCCCCAGCGACAGAGCCTCGTCCAGCAGGGAGATTGACAGAGCCCACTCTTGGGTTTTGCAGCAGGCTGCCATGACAGCACTGTAGCTAATGCCATCTGCTCGATTTCCGCCATCCTGAGCTTCGTCTCCACTTCTCAGGAGATGCAGGCACCGCGACCATTCCGTCGACCGCTCCAAGGCCGTCAAAGTGGAATTCAAGACGATGACGTTCGATTTGACGGTCCATCTCTGTCTCTGACACTCGCTCCACAGAAGCAGAGAGCGTTGCCAAGCAAAGACTGCACCACAGGCCACAACTGCAGTGCTGTATGCATGTGCTCCTGCAAGGCCCCGTTGCTGTGCGTCTAAGAGAAGTTCAAGAACTGTTTGCCATGAAGACACGCGCTCACAAGCTGTCATTGCCGCACTTAGTGCAACCATGTTGGGAGACAAGCTTGCAGACCGTGGGGCCTCCAGAAGGAGCCAGAGCGCAAGCTGCCACTTTCCGGCTGCAGAACATGCCGCACCGACAGCATTCCAAAACCCACGGTCCGGAGTGGCTCTTGAGTGAAGCCTCTCCAGCAGTGCAAGCGCAGATCTCCAAGCCGAAGCTTGTGCACAGACTCCCACCGTGGCAGTGAACGCCATTATGTCTGGAAGGACGTGAGAGGATGCAAATAGCAAGAAGAATGCCTGCTCCCAGTCGCCCGTGCGTTTCAGTCTCATTATGGACGAAGTGGTTTTGCGCAAAGCTTTTAGATCTGGCAGCGAGTCCCGCTGACTGCAAGAGCTGGAACTCAATCTCACAGCTAGTTTGTCCGCCAGAAATGTGCACGATCTCCGGATGCATAACGACTTGCATATTGCACTGGTCTTGCATTGTGCACAAGGACCTGTGACCACTGAGCGGGCCTCACCTCGTCTCGTGACATGAACAAAGCCGTGCACACAGACACACACACACACAGACAGAGAGACAGACAGACAGACAGACCCTTTGACTGAGGCCCAAGTTGCGTAAAGTGAGGCGCATGCTTGACCGAAGAGCAAGCGACAATGCCATTGCGCCACCATGGCAGAAAGATCCTTCAAAGCTGGGGAGCGTGGCGATCACCATGTCAGCTCGGCTGCATGAGAGCTCAACGCTCGTGCCGACACCTCATCCGGGACACAGCGGCTGCAGCCGGGCTGTTTCGGCACAATGGCTCCAATGCACCTCAAAGCTTCAACTTGAGACTCAGCGAAACAAAGAACTTTCCGCATCTCGCACATGGAGTTTCTGTCACGCTGGAAGAACTTGAAAACTTGCAATACAGCATCCTTGGGCAAGAATCTTCAGCAAGTGGTCAGCACGTAAGCAGACAACCGCGGAAATTAGATTCTTAGATGAAAGATCACCGAGGAAGCAGGCTGCCCTCTCAGTGCCTTCAAGAGGCTGCCACGACGAGTAGCCAGGTGCAGCAAAACAAGATGTCGAGCTGCTCGCGCATACCATGGCAACAGAAAGAGATCGAAGCTCCAATGAGCACTGGTTCGGCTAGCTACCTACAGCGACACTCCTGAGAGACTTCACAAACGCACTAACAGTCAAGCCTTCGCACTAGCACTCTATGTGCTGAGGCCATCACTTCAAGCCAGGCAGCCTCGCACTTCAGTGCACTGCTTGGGAGGTTTGGGCACAAGCTACACATCCACCTTCTCCTGCAGACGGCACATTTCGACCTGTGCTTGGCAGTGAGAGTCACATCGGATGGACAAAGCCGAACGTCGTGTGCAGAGGACTGTGCCTCGCTGCCCGCTTCCACAGCCTCTAAGCATTCCAGACACGTTATGCCCACACAGGTTAGCGTGGCTCCCTTCCATCTGCTCCCACAGGCAACAAGAAAATGTCGCTTCCGTTGCCCTGCTCTGCCTGCTCGAACTTGTCATTTCGAGCTTCCTCTATCCTGCATGGCCCAGCCAGTCAACAACTCAACATCACACTCTTCGAGTACTGACACCTCTCCACTGGACTCAGTCACGACTCGACACACGCATGCAAATCGCTTGCACCTGAACTCCTCTTCAGCCGCGAGTAGTTCCTGTTCAGCTGCTACTATCTCAGACCTGGCGATGTGCTGTGCTTTGCACGCGCTGCAATATTCACCGTCATGGCCGTGCGCATGCCTGAGCTCATCTCTCCTCTGTCCAGCAACCTGATGCAACAATATATTCTGACGCGATACATGAACTGGAAGGCTTTGAGTACATGCCGACACGTGAAAGACAAGTCTTCGAAATAGACTTCTCACACAGAGTCTCAATAACGACTCGCGTGGGCTGAGCTCAGTCTGGGCTGCGGGCCGAATGCGAGCAGATCTCGGCTTTCAGATCCAAAGGAGCTCCTCTCAAATTCCGCACGGTACTCTCGCAATGAGCTTTGCTTTGCTGCCTTCCAAGGCATTCGGCGACAGCTTGCCGGGGCTCTTCTCCTTCATTGAGACAGCATCTCCCGCGAAAGACCAATCCTCGCATCACGACTGCAGCCAGCAAGGCCTCTACTTCCCGCGCGGCCCGCGCAGAAGGAGCATCCATCCTGCCATCTGTTTCAGAGTGCACTCCGATGTGCGAACGCTCTGTTCGGCCACTCCTCTTTGGCAAACTGCCCTGCTGCACTAGCAGCTGCTGGAGCTGCTGGTGCATCTGGCGACACATTTTCGAACATGCAATGGAAGCAAATCTGCATCAAAGAGTGGCCACGGAAACCTAGCAGCAATCCACACTGCTGCTCAAGATGTGTCCGAAGTACCATTAAGCATTTCTGCGTCTGGTCAGATAGCCGGTCTGCATTCTCTTCCTCAGCAATGCTAGAGGTGAAGTCCGTGCGCACAGGCAAGAAGTATGCCAGGATGTCTTGATTCTCACGTAATTCCGGAAATCTGTGCTCAGCCTGAGCAGCCCACGAGCCAGTCCCGAGCCTCAACGAACCGAATGTGCCACAGACTGGCACATGAACTCACATGTCCAACAGGCCGCCTCGTCAGTCAGCAAAGGAAAAGAATCCTGCCTGGGCAGAGCATTTTGCAGCACCCGTTATTTTTCCTTCAATTGGCATTTCAAGTCTTGCCTTGCATCCGGAGATCTGGTGCTGCGAACCTGGGACTGGTCAAAATCCCAGTCTCAGTCCGAACAGGGCCGAACGGGTTGCTGGAGTACTCGGCAGTGATTGGCGTCATGAGATAAAACCCAGACAGCCGAAACAATGATTCTCTAGACCCGGCGAGGCAATCCCAGAAGCAAAGGATCAGCCGGCTAGTCAAGTCGACGCAAACCCAAAACCAACTCGGCACAAGGGCTCCTTTTGATTGCAAGCGCTCCGAGGGAACTGGGACAGCCGCACACGACTCTCGACGACAAGCTCAAAAAAGATAAGTAGCTCTGTCTTGAAAGGGCCGGAAAAAACAGGCCAAGCATGGCCAGGCACGAGGCGTCCACTGTTTCTGTAATTATGGGCAGGCAAATCAAAGGACGACTATTCCTGCCACGAGCGCATGTCAGAGGGTGGAGGTTTTTGGGCCGTTTGTATTTTTTTTAGGCCCTCTTTGTTCTAAGGAAGGAGGTCGGTGTCGTGGGGTTTCCTAAGGCAGTAGATTTGTTCACTGCATGTTTCGGCATCCCGTGCAGGGTAGGAAATTCAGCACAAGGGAACCTCTTACAGGAGTCCGTACGGAAGCCGCTCTTCGCAAAACTCTATTAAGAAGACGCTTCAGTTTATACGTCCTATGTGTACAATGTAGGTATTTGTAATGCACATATGACATACATACATACGTCCATCCATCCATCCGTGCATACATACATACATACAT